TTTCGCGGTAACTGCTCCGACGAGCTATTTTCGCTAGATACCAAAGTACATGAATTTAAACATGTCACTAGGTCGGCATCTCAATCCCACCCTTTCACTGTCGAAACGGTTAAATGTGGCCGACATTTATACTCCAATAGTTTCATGTCTTGCACTTCCCGTCTGTGGAACTCTCTTCCTCTTACTTGCTTCCCTGATAGCTCTAATCTCCAACTATTCAAATACAATGTCAATCGACATCTCCAGATGCCTTGATCCATTTCCCGTCCTTCTCTTCATCCTTTCCTCTTTCACGCCTCTTTACTCTTGCTCCCTCTCTATGTAACTCCTTGCGCACTAGTGGCACTTCCGCCTAGTTTGGGGTGAAAAATTTTATATATATATATATAATCCCGGTAAATAGGTGGCCAACTACTTGATAATTGCATGAGAACGCATGAAAATTTTAGTTGTGGTTGGCCACTGTTCACCGGGAATATATATATTAAAGACATTTTTTTTTTATGTTTAACGTTGTTATTTTTTATAGATACAAGTATTTAAGCAAATGCTCTGTTTATGATAAACAGTATTAAATAACATTTACCGGCCTGAATGTCCGAGAAATTTTCATAGAAAATATTCGTTCTTTGACAGGATTCGAACCTGCATCCTATACGGAACCGTCATATACGCTGACGTGCCTTTACCTCTAGGCTACAAAGAACCAATCGGTAGACAAGGTCGAATTTACTGCTTATAAACTCCTATCTTCCATGAATCTCGTACATTCATAACTGCTCTGGCGTATCGAATGTAAACAAATGTCTTTAATAAATAAATTGTCGGACCTTGTCCATTTCTTAACATATATATATATATATATATATATATATATATATATATATATATATATATATATATATATATATGAATAAATACAGAAGGAAAAACTATCTTAGCCGACGCGTTTCATCCTGTCAGGGACTTTCTGACGGTTTTTGACTAACTTGATAAAATCTCTCAGATGACGAATCTCTCGGCAAAGCTAAGTTTTGTTCTTATTCATATTCTCCTTTGAAAAGTCCCCCCCACACACATACATATATATATGCGTGTGTGTGTAGATTTAATAGGCTGGTTAATGAAATTCGAGAGATATAAAACAACGAAAATAATAATATTATTAATAAGACGAATAATATTTATTTCATGTTACTAGACTTTTCGACTGAATGGAAGCGTAATAAGAAGGTTTTAAAATCTAAATTTTCGGACACGTCTGTATCCTTTATCAATGAGACAAGAAATAAACAAGGAAGTGGGACTCTTTTGTCTGATGAATTCGCTGATGTTGTGGTATTCTTCCATGTCTTATGCTATCGTAAGAAATATACTGTTGTATAGACTGTTGTTTGTATCTATTAGGGTTGTTGTGGATTTTTAGAAAGTTTATGTGGAAACTGTACTTTCTGAGTAAGCCTAAATCCCTTTTTAATTATATAGTCTGTGAATCTTTATTCTCTCTCTCTCTCTCTCTGTCTATCTATCTATATATATATATGTAAAAGAACGAAGAATAAAATTGCATCGTTCAAAACCTTAATTTAAAACACGGCTCAATACAGGAGTAGAGCAATAAATATTTATTATACACTGTTACATTAGAATATGTAAATAAGCACTACAAAATTGTACATTTTGTTACGACGCTTAATAATACGTCTCATCAGGTAGTTAGTTACCAATGATGGTAATAAACGATCTCATTAAAATTGCAATTTATGAAACATCACTTTATTTTCCGCGTTTAGATAATATTCTATATACAGTAAAAAAAATTTTTATAAAGAAAAAGGAAAGAAAATAAGAAATCACTAAAAGGAAAAGGAAGAGAAAGAAAAGAAAGGCGAAAGAAAGCATAAGAAATTAACCCTATTACCAAGAGAATAGACACATAAGAAAAGCAAAAGAAAAAGGAGAGTGTATTCAAAATTACACAGACACAAAGCAAGAGAAAAGTTAAGAAAATAACATGAGAAGATGTTGATACGAATTAAACCAATGAAATTATACTGAATAACAGAATTCAAAGTCGAACGGAGATGAAACGCTAACATTTCTATTGGTTACAATGTCGCATTTCAAATAAACACAAAGTGACTGAGAGAACACGATTTGATTTACCGAAGAGTCATGCATTATTAGCCGTAACAGTCACTGTTTACAAACTCACACTTCCTCCCCAGAGAGCTCAACCGAAATAAATTTTTCGGGAGCATATATATTGTCATCCACAGACAGACTGTTTCGCTGTATCACAGCTCATCAGTGTGGCTAGACGTCCGGTTGCCTCTAGTTAGGATTGAAATTGCGTACGTATTTATAAAAGTGTACATTGAAGTTCATCAGCCAGAGGCGACAGTCTGTTTCATGCCATGTCTATTGCGTTTAGCATGAAACCGACTGTCGCCTCTGGGTGTTGACTTCAATGTTTACTTATATATATATATATATATATATATATATATATATATATATATATATATATATATATTGTGTGTTTATATACGTAGGGAAACATATGTAGATTGAGATAGAAAGAAATAGAAAGAGAGAATTTTAAATACAAATATATTTATATAAATAGCAAGATTTGTGTGTCCGTGCGTTGTGTATTGATTTAGACGCATTTCTAGCAAGATTATTACTGGTGTAGTGAGTTTATCTTTACAAAGTTCCTCAAACATCTAGCCTTACACCAGTCAACGATCACGTTAATAAATTATATATAGCAAGTATAGGTCAAAATTACCAATCTTATTTTGAAAAGAAAATGGAAGAACACAAGCGAACACAAATAAACAGATGTTAATTCACATTGGCTTTTATTTCTAAATGCTCATAGTAGTGCCTCTGTTTTTGCTGACGTTGGATAAATAGAAAAGCCGGCTTAGATTAAGTCCATTAGCGTAATGTCAGAAAAAAAAATCGGTTGTCTGCAATTTTAGTTTTGTTTTTGGTTGATACATGATCGAAACACCTCGATGGAACAATAAATCAAAGTGTTTCAAATGATTTGCCTTATCTACTTTGTACAAAGCAAATTCATTGTAAACTTAAGACACTTATCAGCATCGATACAATATATGTAGTTGTACAGAAATCATCTGACATCAACAAACAGAAGAAAAGAACCAATCTAAGAGGTGAACATTCGAGTTCTCCTGGTGCATAACTAAAATAATTTGTACTTATACCGTAAAAATTCTGACCGGATCTCTGGTATGATGAGTTAGAAATTATTTACATTCTTTATATGCAGATTATTGTCCTTATCCTTGTTGTTGTTATCACCTGACCGCCTTCTGTTTAAATTTCTACGATGAGGAGTTATCATTATTTACACTATTTAGATTCAGACTATTGTCCTTATTTTTGTTGTTGTTATCACCTGACCGCCTTCTGTTTAAATTTCTAGGACGAGGAGTTATCATTATTTACACTATTTACATGCAGACTATTGTCCTTATCACCTGGTCGCCTACTGATTAAATTTCTGGGATAAGGAGTTATCATTATTTACACTATTTAGATTCAGACTATTGTCCTTATTTTTGTTGTTGTTATCACCTGACCGTCTTCTGTTTAAATTTCTAGGATGATGAGTTATCTTTATTTCCACCATTTACAGTCTATTTAGTCTGCATGTAAATAATGTAAATCAGGATAACTCTTCACCCCAGACGACAGCAGGTGATCAGGAGATAACGACAAAGATAAGGACAATAGTCTGCATGTAAATAGTGTAAATAATGATAACTCCTCACCCCAGAAATTTAAACAGAAGGCGATCAGGTGATAACAGCAGCAAAGATAAGGATAATAGTCTGCATGTAAATAGTGTAAATAATGATTTACAAATTAATTATGCAAATAATAATAATGCATCATCTCAGACATTCAGATCGAAAGTGATAATAACAACAAAGATAAGGACTATAGTCAGCATGCAAATAATAAGGATAACTCTTCCTCACAGAAATTCAGACTGCAGGCGATCAGGAGTTAATAAAAACAAAGATGAGGACGTTTCTCTGCATTAATGATCAATCCTGATCCCATAAACTCAAACCGAAGGCGATCAGATGATAAAAACAACGAAAATAAGGACAATCGTCCACATGTAAATAACAACCCAGAAATTCAGAACGAAGGCGATCCAGTGATAATTACAATATATATGTACAATAACCTACATGTAATTTCTAGGATAATGAATTAGCATTATCCTAGTAATTCACACAGCAGGCAATTAGGTGATGATAGCAACAAAGATAAGTACAAGAGTCTGTACGTATACAATGTAAATAATGAGAACTCAAACTAGGCAATCAGGTGATAACAACAACAAAGGTAAGGACAATAGTCTGCATGTATATAAATGTAAATAATGATAACAGCAGGCGATCAGGAGATAATAACTTTAAAGATAAGGATAATAGCCTGAATGTAAATGATGTAAATAATGATATCTCATCATCCCAGACATTCAACCCGAATCGTGATTCGGTGATCATAACATTGATAAGAACAATAGAAGCATGTAAATAATGATAACTTTTCATCACAGAAATTCAGGCAGACATTGTTGTTTCGATAAGGGATTTTTTTTTTACTTTCGTCATGTGGATTCCTTTCTAAACATTTATTTGTTGCAATGTGGAATATCAATATCGTGATTTTGTCATTATTTTCTATTCGAATTACTTGTCCTATCCATTTTAATTTTTTTCTGTTTTGGTGTAGTTTCAGTCATTTGGTGCAATTCTTTGTTAGTGATTCTGTAGCGCCGGTGCACGAGGTTCGAATGAGAAGCAACCTCCCTAGTCCTCACTGAGTTTTGTCCCAATCGACATTAGTCCCGTCGACATCAGTCTGAAGATAAACAAAGTAAATTATAATACATTTTATTCCCATCTAGTTAGGAAGTTCGAGCTTATTCGGTTAGCGTCGTGAGGATGACAATTGTACGCGTAACGGTCACCCGGGCCTTGAGTTTTCGCTGCCGAGCGTGTTGTCTTTGCTTTCTCTCGACGTTGTATCAACTTTCGCTGATCGTTCATTTTTCCTTTCCGTACCACCGCGTTCCTCTGCATCGTACTGCCGTCTAAGCCGTTTGCGTCGTCGTCGTTGTTACTACGATAAAATAAAAAATGATATATATCCCTAAACATGACTAAGAGAACTTGTACAATACGCCCCGTTGATTAAATAATGAGTTCATTTCAAAATTACCACAAGTTTATCCGGATCTACAGTCACCTGAAGAAAGCCCAACTGCCGAAACGTTGTTATAATAACAACAAAATGAGGATATTAGCTCTAATATAAATATTGGAAATAATGGTAACTCTTGACCCAAGAAAGAAAAGAATGGCAACAGAATTGACAAAAGGGAAATTATAAACGCAAAATTTAATAATTGCCAAATCTTCGCTTTGGCATTTGCTCTCATATGATATTGGTTCATAATAACGAACATTTTGTCCTCACAGAAAATATTTAATTGAGAGAAACTTTTTAAGAAGCAAGTTTACTTTCTACTGAACTTATATCTTTTTATCCCGTCGCTTTTTTTATTTTTATATTTTTATAACCGTAAGCCAACCCATCATCCGCTCAATAAACGTTACTACAGCTTCAATCTTTAGCATGGACAATTTACTTATTCCCGAGTCTTCGCTTTTTGACAGCTTGTCAGTTAATTTAATGGAAGGATTTCTTTGAACATAAATTATGATCGTCCAGCCAAATAAGAATTTCTTATAAGTTTAACGTCGTTTCTACAATGTTTTGTTTTGTTATATTAGGAAAATTCTGGCTGGCCATGTGATGTATGTGTGTTTTAGGACGATATCAAGTAGGAAATATTTTTTTTTACTTAAGCGGTAGCTATAATTTTGGTTGTGTTCCAACCAGGGGTGTTGTAAGGGTATCGTGAGCACTCACCGAATTTATGATACCAACCCTGAATCTATAATAGACTTACACTACTATACCTCAATTTTCATAAGGTAATATTAATATAAAATACTAATTTTATTGTAACCTACTCATGTATAGTAATGCATCATATGCAATAGAGATGAAAAATCCCACTAGAAAAATTGAAAATAAATACAGTGTAAAAATTAGAAACAGATCATAAATCATTACATTTTAAATAAATCAACAATGTTTTGTGGCAATTTTTAGCATCAACTTGAGATTTTTCTTGTTAAAAAGTTTAATGATTTTAACGCATTCGACATTATTGATAAAAATTAGTGAAAATTTATGTAGTGTTTTTTTTTTTTAGACATAGCATGAGCAAAACAAATTCACAGATTTGGACGGAAAAAAACTACCGAGAATGACGTCAAATCCGCAAAAGTTATTCATCCTTCAAATGTAGGTAGAAAAAAAGCAAATGTTGATAAGCTAAAGGGAGTTACAAAGCACTGCTGCGCAGTTCTCAATTAGGATTATTCACCACGTCGGTGGGTGTGGTGGGGGATCGGTGATAGTAGGCAACAGCCCTGGTTACCACAAACGACTCGTGGGTCGTAACTCCTGCCTACAATGATATTTCCAAAATTCAGACTCCAAATCCGTCTTTCTTGATTTCCATGAAAATCTTTTAATTTTTTTAAAAGATAGAAATACTAGCAAACTTGGGCGTTCTTACCCGCAAAAAACCGCTATTATTATAACTACCTTCACCCCTCGTCTATTGTTTTAAAAACAATGATTAGAATTGTAATAAAACCTAAACATATGAATGTGAATTTATACATTTCTTTGTTCTTGAGGATTGACAAAAAAGAAACACAATTTATTATATTGATTATTTACACTATTACCTTGTTTATAGGAATGGGAAAACATCAACTAATTGCCAATTGATTCGATCTTTATAAAATGGTAAATAAGGATTCACATATAGACAGTTCACATATTGTAATAATTTAGTAAATGTTTATAAATTTATGAATAAAAAATGTTTTCATATTTATTTCTTTATAAATTGGTAAATAATAAATATTGCATTGAAATTAGTTTTAATTGTATTAGTTTTTGGAATGTTGAAATATAAAATTATTTTGTAAACAATGTAATAATCTAATAAATGAAGTGTTTAGTGGTTCTGTTGTAAATCCTCAAGAATAAAGATATATATGAATTCATGTTTTATTACAATTATAATCATTGCCTAAAACACGCCGGATATATATATATATATATATATATATATATATATATATATATATATATATATAATAAACCATAAAATCAAAAATTACCCCTGATGATGGTTTCATGGTTTACTACTATTTATTTGCTCTGTATGATAAATACATTGAGCTCTTTTTGTGGATCAATTTTAATATTTTGCGTTACTAGACTCCAGTTGAGTTATATTCAGTGGATTTATTACCTTTGCTATATATATATATATATATATATATATATATATATATATATATATATATATATATATATATAACAAAAGGCCTCACACTTATACACACACCCACACGAATATACACACTTAACATATCATACTCACTCACTCCCTAATGAGCCAAATGATAACACACACCCACAACAATACACACGCTTACACATATCACTCCCTAAGAACCAAATAACACACACACAAACACTAAACAGAGACACATCCCCTCTCCAGGACCAATAAAACTGTCAAACTGACCAGGTGAATTCAGAGCAGTATAGTTTCATCCAGATCTTATCCCAAATAACAACTTAAAAGAGACTGTTTGACCAACACAAGGAATGTTAAAAGATTCATGTTAAAAAGATAAAAAAAAAATAAAAAAACAAATGAAAACTACAGACAAAAGTTCATTTTTTCCATCAAGACATTCATTTCCGTAGTTTACTGCTACCAGCAAGCAGAAATATTTCTTCTCCTGATGAGCCGATGAATCTAAATGAAATAATAATAAAAAAAAACGAAAGAATATTAATCTACTTCCCAGTGTGTCTGAAGATTTTAATTTTTTAATATTTTTTATTGTTCAAAATCTATCTATCTATCTATCTATCTATCTATCTATCTATCTATCTATCTACACACACACACACACACACACACACACACACACACACACACACACACACACACACACATTCGTCTGTGGGAAAGGAGTGGTAGGGTGGAAAATAATTTATCACCCATGTGTGTGCTAGATGACCCAGCGTTCAATCTATTCGACTGTTCCCCCAAGGCCTTCTCTCCGGCTAATCTTATATTAGGCGGAAGATTCCGGCATAGACATTTTAGAGGGAGCACAGCACAACGACCCATAAGGAGCCGGAAACGTTTTTGGACTTGATCGAGACTGAAAAGTGAAGACGTCATATGACGTAAGGACTGTATTTTTAACCTCAGTTCTGACTATTGGAATATTAGAAGGAATCATGTACTTACAGTAGCGGTATAGGAAACCGTCCATTTCTCGAATATCTTTAGCGATGAGGTCTTTGATGAGTCTAAGCACCACTAGGACCCCATTCAGCTCGATAAGTCAAAATTCAGTGTCCACTCGGTGATTAGACGAGACAAGTGAGTAACAACAGTAACAATAAAATAAAACTGTTATAACTACTGTTTTTTGCTGCTTATCAGACACATTTATTCCCATAAGATCTCCAAAAACAACCTTGCCTCCTATAGTTCGGAGATATTTGACTGGAGTTTGGGATATGAAGTGAGCATCAGTTCGCTAGTTATATGCGACTCTGAGCTCTTGAAGGTAAAACAAGTCCAGTGTTTCAAAATTAAATTAACACCGTTTTGAGAGAATGCTGTTGGAATATTGGTAATAAACAAAATCTCTGCTACAGTAACGTCTTTCCTTGTTTATTTCTTAAATTACTGGCCACAAAAAAATCAACATTTATAGTAGACACTTTAAAAATAATATTACTGTATATTACGCTTTCGTTTATAAATGTTAGGTCTTGTCGCTTGATTAAGAAATCACTTACAGTATTTAAAGGGGGTTAATTATTGATTGAGAAATCACTTACAGTACTTAAAGGGGGTTAATTATCGATGAACAAATACATTGGCTCACTAACAGCTGAAACATCCATATCGTCACTGACAATAACTCATCAATATGGTCTGATAACATTATGAATAGGTTCCATAAATTTGGTACTGTTCAGTCTCTCATAGATATTTCATGATTAGTATAAGCAACAATTATTTTTTTTCCAATGTCTTCCTACAGAATTGCGTCTAATACATTGGAGCATCTTATAAGCAGCGTAATACGGTATATTTCAATGAATTTAAGGTGACGGATATGTTCTTACCGTAGATGTTAGTAGCCTTCATTATAGAGTCACAGGTATTTTAACTTTTTTCATAGCTACTTGAATTTTTGGTCGGCACCGGATCGCATCCGAGCATCGGGATTGTCATTCTCTCTCTTTCCCTTCTGATGGTAGTGAGGGAGATGGCTGCAAAACCCTAGCCTACCCCTGAACTGTCATGAACAGGAGTCACAGAGGGGTGTGGGTGGTGTACGTGGCTGGGCGAATCTGGCCCTCCTGATAGCACGTCGCAGATCCTATTCATATTGACAGTTGGACTCGATCCTCCTCGGCTAGGAACGCCGATTTGAAGTAACGGCTTCCCATGTCTCAGGGTCTATGTTGACCTGTACCAGGGATGTCTTCAACTGATCCTTGCAGCATCGGTTTGGGCCTCAGCGTAGCGTCTTACTTGAATATTTTTACGTGGTTTAATTATTCTATTAATAAATAAATGTTTTTTTTGTTTTTCTTGAGTAATAAGACATTTCTTTTTCGTTTTATTCATCTCCCTAAGACGACAGCTTGCATTTATATTCTAAGTCAGAATCCAAAAAATTATCTCACTGACCAAATCAAAGATTACGAAGTGGATATACTCCATGACACATATACACGCAATCACTCTATCGAGTTGCAGGGCCACATAACCCCACACTCTCGGGGTTCAAGAGCCTCCCTAAAAAAACACTTCCGGACGTGGGCAATCAGGGTCTTCCACAATTTCCTGTCTCCTGGAATTCTTAGTTAATTTTGTCTTTTCGCAATCTTTCCCGGTGCCTGTTCTGCAAGCTCATTAAGTAAGTTATTCACTGCTGCCTTCTGTCCCTGTTGCCTTTAATATGCCCTGTTAGTATCAAATTTTCTTAGCACTCTTTCCTCATTATGTATCCTAAATATTTCAACTCTCTTTCTGATGTTAATTATAAGTCTCCCTTTTGTTTCTATTTTCTCTAAAAGTTAGCTATTGTTGCTATATTTATATAATAATAATAATAATAATAATCTCAGTTGTGAGGCAAGACTATCTACGGTTCTCACTTCCTTTCTCTCTCTCTTTTTTCCGTTTTACTTTCTTTCTCTATTGCTCTCCTCATCCTATCTATCTATCTATCTATCTATCTATCTATCTATCTATCTATCTATCTATCTATCTATCACAGTCCTTTCATTATCTATCTATCTATCTATCTATCTATCTATCTATCTATCTATCTATCTATCTATGTAACAGTGTGTACACGCGTCGAAGAAGGGTCCAAGAACTCTGTAGAGAACATTTTTGTCCGTAGCCTTGGCGTTTGCAAGTTGAAACTGAAACTTTTGTACCAAAAATTGAAATTTGGTATTCTTCCATGCCATGTTTCTTGTTTTTAGTAAAAACCAATTTCGAGAGGAGAACAGATATAGACAGAGAACAGTAAGATACAAGTAATTCATTGTCATCTTAAAATTTTTCTGGCAGTCGTAGTGCTAGTATTGCCCTCATCAACTATCAGCATGAAATTAAATTATTGTTCGCAAAGTCAGAGCCAGGGACACGGAATACAATTGCAAATAACCTTATGATGAGGCATTTCATCAGTAAAATTCACCGTCGTTTGTTAACTTGTTCTGCAGACTTGTTTGCAGAAATTCAAACACGAGACCAATAATATTTCTCGCGTAATTACAATATTTTGTAAAAAAATCTATATTTAAGCGCATCTTCCTTGATTACAATTATAATTTATCAAGTTTCCGAAAGATGGCAATATCGATGACGTATTCATTATTTACATTCGAACTCTTTATTGTTAATTACATTATTTGAACTACTATCCTCATCTTCATTGCTATATTCACAACGTTTCGGCCGTTGTACGGCCCAGCCTTCTTCAGGTGATTGGAATTTTGAACGGAACCCTTTATTGCGTCCACTGAGGTAGATTGTGCTAGTTCCACGTGCCATACCTCTCACTTATTCCCCTTTAACTAAATTCTGCTGTAGCCTAGCATTGAACTCACAACTTTTTAGGTCTAGTCACTGAATTTAACCAAGGTCTTTATCCACTGGGTCATGTGCCCTTGAAGACATCTGTGAAAGCATTTCTGTGACTTATAAGCCTAATGTCTCATCTACCGTTTTTTACCAGTGCTCATATTGCAATTTGTCCTTTATTATTATTGCATACTTTTTTTTTTTTTTTACCAGCGGTTATATGGCAATTTTTGTGTTGTTATTCATTGCCTTTCTCTAGCAAATCTGATTACTGAGATCAGACATATTCGGTCCATGTTATCCTCAGGATCTTTCTGTAGAACCACGTTTCTGTTGCTTCAAGTCTCTTCTTCAACATTGAGGAGATTGTCCAGCATTCACTACCATATAGGAGAACAGAGTTCAGTACTCTTTTCTTTGTTTCTAACAATGGTTTTTTTTGTGTCGTCTTGTTGAAACATGATTTGATTCTATAGACTCCTCCTCTTAGATATACATATCAAACAGCAGCTTTTATTTAGTGATATCTATAAGGAAAGTAATCTGGAAATGAAGGCTGGTATTTAAAATCGCTCTCCGTTTGCACCTAAGGTCCTTATACCCAGATTTGACGAAAAGAGTTTTAATGAGAAATTCATGTTTTAATGAGAAGCGAGATTAATTAATTAAGAAACCGGGCGATGATGGCTTCAGGGTGTGAAAGAAAAGCGAAATACGAGAACAAAAGATTCAGTTTCGTACTTTTCGTGTGATTTGCGATCAGAGAATTCCTCCTCCTGCCTGACAGTCTCAAAAATAAAATAAAATGAATTAAAATAACAGAAAACTAAATTAAGAACGATGGGAAATCTTCTGAGTAGCCATGTTGACTGCGACAGAAGCAGTACCATCATCAAATAAAAAAGGGGTAAAGAGTAAACGCCTGCGTAGCACATCGATAAAGGGAGGAAAATAAAGTAAAAAAAAAAAGTTGGTAGCACGAGCAATCTAAAGAGAATCTACAAAGAAACAAATATCTCTTCTCAAACTCGATATTTTTAGGCGGAATAAAGGCCATAGTAAATAGGGATTCTGGGTAAAATCAAATTCTTTTCATTCCTTCTATTTAATCCTTGTTCATTTCTTCCGTATCGGTCTCAATCTATTTTCTTATCTTCTGAAGTAAAGAAAATGAACGGAAATAAGAATTCTGGGTAAAAAAAAAAGAAATGTAAAAATAGAAATAAAACTGCTTTATATTTATTTCTCTTCTTTCATCAGACATTCTTTTTCTTTCTCTTTCTAGATTATTATTTTTTAATGAGGGAAAGAAAGTCAAGATGAATGCGGGTGCTAATTAAAAGAGAAAGAGAGAAAAGAACTTGCTTAATATTTTTTTGATCTTTCTTTCTGTCTTTCTTTCTTTCTTTCTTTCTTTCTTTCTTTTTTTCTTTCTTTTTTCTTTCTTTCTTTCTTTCTTTCTTTCTTTTCTTTCTTTCTTTTCTTTCTTTCTTTCTTTTCTTTCTTTCTTTCTTTCTTTCTTTCTTTCTTTCTTTCTTCTCTCATTTATTATTTTTCCTATTTCAAGCCGACAACTAACTTTCTTTCTTTCTTGTTTTCTACTTCATTATTTTAAGTGAATAAAAGAAAGCCAAAACGAATGGGGAGTCTGTGAAAAAAGAAAAGAAAAAGTTTAATATGGGCTTTAAATTTTCTTCATCCATTTTCGAGGAAAGGAAAAAGGAAAAAGGTAAAAGAGAAGTGTAAGAGCTTGGATTTTTTTTTACTTTTTTCTTAAAAACTTTTCTTTTAATATAAAAGTAATAAAATCGCTCTTAGATGTTCCGTCTGTTCATATCTATCGCAGCCTGTTCCTATCTATCTATCCTCTATCTATCTATCTATCTATCTATCTATCTCCGTCTGTTCATATCTATCTATCTATCTATCTATCTATCTATCTATCTATCTATTCCGTCTGTTCATATCTATCGCAGCCTGTTGCTATCTATCTATCTATCTATCTATCTATCTATCTATCTATCTATCTATCTATCTCCGTCTGTTCATATCTATCGCAGCCTGTTGCTATCTATCTATCTATCTATCTATCTATCTATCTATCTATCTCCGTCTGTTCATATCTATCGCAGCCTGTTGCTATCTATCTATCTATCTATCTATCTATCTATCTATCTATCTATCTATCTATCTATCTCCGTCTGTTCATATCTATCGCAGCCTGTTGCTATCTATCTATCTATCTATCTATCTATCTATCTATCTATCTATCTATCTATCTATCTATCTCCTTATTTTAA